CCAGCCCAGTGGGTGGAAAATAGTGGACATTCAATAACTGTTTTTAGAAAAAAAAAAAAAAGAAGAAATGAAATATGGAACAGAGGAAGAAAGAGAAGGAAAGAAGAGAGAGTCTCTTTTCACAACCTCAAACCATAGTCAACACTCAGTGAACAAGGCCTCTATGCTGGTCACTATCCCTTCAACCTAGGGCTCCACCCAATCCATGCATAGCAGTCCCTAAGCTTAGTCCTTAGAAGCTCTGCTTTGGGGATACCTAAGGCCTCAGTAATGCTGGTACTCAGTGAGTCACTCTCTCCTCCATCTGTTTATATAACAAGTCTAACCACAGCTATTGTTACTGATTACATGCTGGAAATGACCTAACAATGTTTTGCTTAATGATCTCCAACCATTTCCATCTGTGGGTGGCCACACAGTCATTATTCATAAATGGGACTTTGCAAACACAAACACATATGTATGTATATAATAAAACCTCAATAATTTACACTAATTGGAGGGAAAGCCTATCTGAATTAACAAAAAATAAATGCTATTTTATTACTTTCAAGCTCATGACGTAATTAACCACCTAATGATCAGGTGGCTTGGCAGAAAGAGCACTGGAATGGGAGTATTGCGGGCTGGACCCCCCGCCCTGTTTTATTTATTTATTTATTTCCACAGGTTTATTGGGGGCTCCATGCTCACACACACTCACAGCATCACACGACCACGGAATGGTTACTCGGAATATGCAAGGTGGCCTCCACCCACAGTTAGGGTCCAGAGGCAGTGGGGTGCAGTCTTCTCCCTTGTGGCCCAGACCCAGCTGGGTCCCTTCCTCCCAGACAGCTGAGGGAGGAGACTGCTGGGGTAGGCTGTAGACCTGGAAAGGGGAAGCGAGCAGGCAAGACCACTGGGAGGGGCCGGGCCAGGCGGAGCTCACCAGCCTTCACTCCAGGGACTGCAGTATCGACAGCTGTTTCAGCCCCTTTGTCTGACTGGTCTCGCCAATTTCCCCAGCCAGGAACATCTCATCCACAACTGTGTAAACCTTGTAT